TTAGAATTTTTTTCAGTCACTCAAATTAGAAGATTAGGGAACCCCCATGTCGATAGTAACTCAATATTAAGTGCAATATGCAAATACAAAATTAAGCACATATCTCCTACAAAGAAATTGTGATGGAGAGTGAAGTTGCAAAACGAAAAGTTTCGAAAAAGGCTAATAGCATACTGCATTTAACTACTAGTGATTTAACTCCACTTGAAATAGTGAAGAAATACTAATTCAGAGATGAGTGTGTTCAAATCTTGAAGTAAATGGTTCTCAGAAATATATTTAATATCAATGCTGCCAAGATACACTAATTTCTTCTGTGGATTGTCGTTTTAACACTTTCATTAATATTAATAACCCACAGTCAGTTTAATTAGAACGCTATCAAACCCATCTCTGAAGTTATTTTATTACGCTTGAAGATAGATTCACATGCCATTATAATAGATATGAAGGTGAAATTCTCCCATTATAATAATTACTACCGTTTTGTTTCATCACTATTAGACAAAACAATTTCTACTTTATGTAGTGCCTATTTTACACAAAACAGGCAAGTCAAAGCTACAGACAATATAAGCTACAGTGCATGCTTGTGTACTATGTACTTGGCACAAGAGATAATTGACCATTTTGTCAAGAGCATTACCACCCAAAACCAGCTTGAACCACGAGCATCTGTTAAGGAAAAAAGTAGAAAAATATAATCCTCCACATTCTCCCTACTTCACTTTCCAAGTTTTGGTTTTTCTAACCATAGTCAGCACCCATAAAGTCGTGGGGCAAGAAGATAATACAATGGGCCTTACTGTGTTTCTATCTTCAGTAGCTCACGATGTTTGAAGATCAATACAATGATAGATAACTTGCAAGTACAATACTGTTGAAATATACATTAAATAGCAAACTGTTGGTTATAGTTTAAGTTTTTTGTAAACTATCGTAGTTTTGATCCCACTTAAACATGAGGCACAATTCCCTATATATGATATTTTAGTTAAGTTCAATAAATATATATGAATGTGTGTGTGTATATATATATGTATGTATGTGTATATGATAGATATTTCTGTGTTGATACCACATCAAAATGTGCTGGACTTTCATCCGGGGTTAAAGTCCCCGTTAAAAGTTCTAAAATTTTGAATCTTAAATATAAAAACATTGGAGATGCATTAGTAACTGAAATATGTATCATAAGTGCTTAAAAAAGAAGGAGTCCATATCTTAAAAGAGGAAGTTTATGGTCCATGTAGATGAGAGAGAAAACAAAAATCAAATTATCATAATACCAGTAATAATAATAATAATAATAATAATAATAATAATAATAATAATAAAATGAAAACTTTAAGGAAAAAGCTTTTTCTTTTTTTAAGGATATGAAAATAAAGAAAAGAAAAACGAGAGTCAAGAATATGGAGGGGAACAATACTTTAGTTGAAACAAGCATTTGAATTACAAGTTACAAAAGATTCAAGTGATACAGATCAACATACGTAAACATAATAGCAAGTGCCTAAAACTAAAAAGCAAAAGAAGAAAATACAGTGTACATTTAACTTAAATCTTAACTTTTAACATCTTATTTAGAAGAATAGCAAGATATCTAGGATTAATAGGTTTTCAACGTGCTCGGTACAAGAGCATGAAAAATACTACTTAAAAACAAGAAGCAGAAAATATATAGTGAAGCAAGCATTGATAAAGAAACCAACAAACCAGAAAGTTTCAAAAGATTGGAAACAGGACCACACCAGAAGAGTTGGGTGTAGGCTTGTACATTTGTTTTTCTACGTATTACTTTGTCATAAACATCTCGAAAGGTATAAAAATAAATGAGGTTCTTGTGATATGTTGTACACAATGCAAAAAAATACAAATTCAGATCACTGTTCTGTAAACGCCAATGTGCCAGCACCTGCCGCAACCCCAGAATGTTCTATTCCTTGCCCTAATCCCTCATCCCTCCTGCACCTTGAGGATTGCGTCTGGCAATGTACACGGAAAACCTCTTGTTCTGAACATGAAATTTGCATGTTAAAATGCACCTGCTCAATTTTTTTTCTAAAAATTATACTTTCAAAGTAGAAAAAAACGAAATCCTTCAAAACAAGAGGTTTTGCTGTATATTGTGATTGTCAACTATATTTTTTAAATATATATATTTATAAACGCTTAGAAATATATCACCATAAAAATGGAACAAAAAGGAAATTAATGAATTGGTCAAATAGCCAACCCTGTTCCTTTCCTTCATCTTCTGATCATTTAAGAAGTTATATAATTACTTGGTATGTATATATATAATATATATATAATTAACTCATGTTAAAGCTATTACAACAATACTGCTTCAAATATATAGTAATATACTGATTATTTTATTATTAGAATAATCTGAAGATACTTGTCCTGACAAAGAGGGACATTTCAAACATTGACATTAAGAAACGCAGGGGGAGCAGGTTCAGAAGCTAGCTCTAAAGGCATACATGGGGTGTACATGAAGACAGAAGACACACAGCTACAACATGGGGCACCTAGAAGAGGTCAAGTATGTCTAACCAGTGGGGTTCTCAAGTTCAAAACCTTCCTGACTAAAAAGGATGTCTTATTTAGAAAAGAGGAAGGCAGAATACTTATTAGCCAGGCTCAAAGGATTTCTCCTAGAATACAGATATGATCAATACTTATTGTTGTCTCTTACATAATACAATGCTTGTCTTGTGCAAGTCCTTGTGAATTTTTCAACAGAAAAGAACAATTCTGCTGTTCAGGGGTTTCCAAATTTCCCCCTTTTAAATGGTCTAAATAATACTAAATATGAAATTACTTCTACTTAGTAAACAAATATATTTGTCATTAAACTGTTGCTGCTAACAGAACTAGAGCAATATTCAACATAAAAAAGAAAAAGAGAAACAAATAAGGCACTAAATAGTAAAAATACCTTCCTTTAACCCTACCATAATCTGTAGAAGGAAAAATGAAATAATAGGACTGGCCCAAATAACAACATCCATTATAGGCAGTTTATAAGAAAACATGACACACAGATACCAACTACACATTAACACATCCACAACATATTTCTGTCTTTGAACGTTTGAGTGACAACCCAACTGGTTTGATCTTTTTTCTACACATAAATCATTTTTCTTTACTATATTTACTTATAGTATCTTATTCTTCTCATCTTAAGTTAGTTGGAATGCAGATATTTTAACCCTATTCCAGCCTCAAATATATACGATAAAACCGCAAAATCATACTATTTTCATACAAGTGATCCCAATGAGCAGTTACACTAAAATGAATAGCATAGATGAATCTAGTTCTGAAAGATTGAGGCACAAAGATCAAAACCAATTACATCAGCTTTGTTCATTTACTCAGTTACTGCATTTACTATAGAAAATCCTAAAGGAATAGTTCTTTAAATGCATTTTCTATAAATTTCAATGATCCAACACTTAATGAAATATGCCAGCCTAAAACAATTTAAAATAAACTAATAAAAGTAAGACATCAAATTGTTGAATATTTAAATTTATAAATTATATGCACACATCAGTATCATAAAATATTTTTTAAAAAAATAGTGTAGTTTGATTTCTGAGAGGAGAAATACAATTTCTGAAATTTGATGGTGCAACTAAGAGGCAATAAATTTATCATGTATTTACGAACAAAAGAAATAAGGGATAGCAGGAAAGCAAAACTGCCACATACAATTACTATTGTCAAATTCATGAAGACAATGAAGACACTGGAACAGGAACCCCTGTGAGATCTTAAGTTTTTAGAGTGTGAAATATCCCTACATCAGCATGTCATTGGGGAAATGCATTGTAAAAATTATCACCATTCATTTACCAATCCCCTTGCTTTTCTAACATGAGAGACTATTTCTCTCCACCACAAAATAATTACCAATGCTCTTAGTACCATTACTGTAGAATCTACTACTGTGCGTATTATCATTTCTTGATGATTCCATGCTTATCTTTCCTGTGCTCAACTTCGCATTCCTCTTCTAACTGGATTTTCCCCTGCGATTATGAACATCTTTTATATTACATGAAACATTATTTAAAGAGAGTTGAAAGGAAAAATTCAGTGAAATTTGATCGATATTAATGGCCCACTAATATTTTCCGGGGAGTACAGCATATTCAAATATACGGCCAATTATTACCTTCATCATTCAACATCAATTTAAAACATCAACACAAATTTTCAATACAATAATTCCTCTTAGTGGCAACCATGTTTAAAATTGATTAGTTTTGAATATGCTCTGCAGTTTATGAACCCCAACAGATTGTCAAATTGTGGCATATTGGATTGTCGAAGTTTCAGCACCAAAATTGCATTGTGTGGTCAAGCAGAGACAATGGGCAAAAACCCAAGTGAGGCACATAATAACTTAAGTGAAAAAGTATTCACTTGTTGCCATCACTGCTAAGCCACACAAGACACTGACATTCAACATTTTCCAGAGAAAAACATCAAGTTCTATCATAATTACAACACACAAATTAATTTAATTCTTTCATCTTAGTATTCTCAATGTTCACTTTGAGGGAAACAGACCATTCCCCAAGTTAAATAAACATTAACCAAAAACCAGTCGCACTGAAGAGAGAATCAGTAGTCAGATCTTCGAGCACCTTACACTCCTTTACATCGCAGTAAGTGGTTCATGTGTGTCACATTTCCTATGTGAATGTTGTTTGGTTCTGTTCCTTCACATTAAAAAATTGAAACAAAAATGACCATTTTCCTTGATATTACAAAAATCTTGCTAGTTTCTAATGCTACAATTTCCTTTCTCTCTCTCTTTCTCTCAAATAATATAATAAGCGGCTAAAATACTTGGTCAGGTCTCTCCAAAGGTCTTTCAATATATTCCCTGCATTGGGCTTCCTCCAAATCTTCTCTTTACGAGACTATCTATACTCGTAATTCATATTCTAAGATGTATTATGTACTATTTAGTTCACTCCACAACTTCCCCCTGATGAAGTGTTTATACTAATCATCAAAAGATCAGAGTAAATGCTGCACATGTGCGCCACCGCCAGCTGTTCTGAGCAAACTTTCAAACAACTACCTTTCATTAACCACATACATGATTAATGTTTACATTATTAACATCAAAATAAGAATTTTTACAAAAACTCCAGAACAGTACTGCACAGCACTGGTGCTCAAGCAATGTAGGGTCAGCCTGAGCATCCAGGTCCAGGAGAGGGCAGGCGCTTAGATGTTTGACTTTGAGAAGGACACACGCAGGTGGTTGGACTCACTCAGCTGATAATTGTGCATTTTCTGAAACAGAATGAGATTTATTAATATCATTTTCATTTGTTTCATGTTGTATTGCATAAATGCACTAAATCACGCCATAATTAAAGAGACTCACGATCAAAGCTGTCACAGCATCATCCATCGAAGGAAGCTGAATCAGGGCCATTTTTCTGTCCTTACTGGAATTGTAGACAAGAAAGACATTACAAACGTATTTTGCGAGATCCTAAATTAACAACACATAAAATCCATTCATAACGAAACAAACATAGGACAAAACTTTGAGCCATGTTAGTTTATGGAATCATTCTGAATTGTTAATGAACTTTAAACTATAATATATATAAACATAGACATCCTGTGAAAGTTCACAAGCTTCAAGCTTTCATGTTTAAGGTTATCACACTATCATGTACAAGTTGCAAAATCCATAGAACACTTTTATTAGACAGAAACTAATGCAGTTTGAAAGGCCATAAATAAATAATTATGATCATGGATATGCACCAATGCCCATTTTTGCTTGTATTGAGAATTTTTGTGTTGGGAGTTAATCAATATTACGTGAGGCTGTATTATCTTAATGTTTCTGGTCATTCTAAATGGTATGAGCATGTTTATTACCCCAAGTTTACATTAACAGTTTCATTGTAAATGAACCTTAGTATTACTTTACTAAATACTTTACTTGGTCATAGTTTCTATAAGATCCAATTCTAAAAATTTGACACTTAAATATATTTTTCAATTTTTTAAGAGTTAATTTTGTATCTTTGAACTATCAGTCATACTGCAAGATCCTACTGCTTTTCTGAACAAACAGGGACCTTTCATCCAAAAAAGGCAAACAGACCAAATTGAATCATTAACAGAACCTTAAAACAAATTAACACATGGATACATTGTTATTTAAATTCAGGGTGTTATTGCTGATATTCCAAGTCATTCGGATTGATTTAACTGTTACAAAGATCTGGTGATTGGGAATCTGTTTATTTTAGATACACATCACACCAATAAATTTTAATATAAAAATTGTTAAAAAAAATTAACAACTGTAAAGATGTGTGTATAAGGAACATCCCTTAGTGTACTAATAATTGGATCAAGTGTCAAGCATCTTAAAATTAGAAATCAAATAATGTCTTACGGGAAGAATTTAAAAGCTTTGACATGGAATCCATTTTTAGTAAATGCTTCCTTAATCTCTTCTTCGGAGATGGACGGTCTGAAAGAGAAGCAGACATATTTACATTCAGTTATCAGCATGTAAATCTTCCATTTACTTGCCCAGTGACACATGCATGTGCACACAAAATCCATGCAAATTAGGAACAGATAATTTCTGTTAATATTAAAATGAAATCAATTAGCAAGTTACGAAAATAATCTGAACAAGTTTTCTACTTATTTAAATTGAATATAAAAAATCTGAGTTCAACTTTTAAATCTGTATAATAAATTCTAAGTTTAGGCATTGAATATCACAATATTTTAGAAATAAGTATATACAGCATGGTTTAACTTTCCCTTCAAGGACCTTTTGAACTGTTGCAGATACTGAAATGTAGTTTATATACTATAGTATATAAACGAGAGACACAACACCTTGATAATATTTAACAATAGCTTTTTTATTTAAAAGATTTGACATAACAGATTTTTTTTTTTAATGGAACCCTATAGATTTTCTTTCGCCCATGATAACAAGTATGAAAAGAAGTGTTCATACGTACATTACCCTGTGATTCTAACAACCTTTTTGAAAAACTGTGTTTTTACCACCATGCAGATTAAAATTATTTCATTATTGCAAGACAACACGCTTCAAGGACATCCTGTTAACATGTGTATCAATGCCAAACCTGGCTTGGGGAACCCATTAAATCACTCAACAAGTGCTACACCACTGCAGCTTGCAAACACTGTATTCACCTGTAGCCACACGATGTAGTCTCAGCCAGAATTGTGCAAAAAACATGAATAATATACAAACATGAATAATATTTAAAACCAGCAGTTCTCGATTTAACACCTGTAATTAAATTCTGGTAACAAAATTATGTATACTAGTTAATCAGTGAAATTAATAACTAAGAGAAATTAGTAATTAACAATTTGAAGCCTCTAGTTGCAGTGAATAATAACAAATTAAGCTACTTTAATCTCACTTTCTTTTCTTGTCTCTTTCATAACTGAAGTTATTTGTAATTTTCTACGTAACTATCGCACTTCATTTGTGGGCACATCATAATACGAACGGTACAGTTACACTTTCGGTTAAGAAACACCTTGGACATGACGAGTAAAGAAGAATACTACTAAAATCCTAATAGAATAAAAAATAGCCCACCTTCTAGGATGAACTTTCTTCGTAACTCATCATCACTGATTTATTACAATGTAATACAATTCCAGACAATTAATTTAAATGCCCAATGCAACAAACCTGTGATCATCTTATCAACTTTTGAACTTTGCTTTGGTCTGTTGAATCTTTTGGCTTTTTGAGCACAGTTGGTGAGGAACAGGTAGAAATTATTTGCATTCATTTCACAAATGTTGGCTACCCTTTATAAATTCTAAACCAGTTCATGACAACAAAATCCAGCTTTCACTTAACAATACTCAATCGTGAGGGAAGTAATACAATGTAGATATATTGGTCGTAACAGTTATAGTTTTGGAGATACGTAATTATCTATTTTTGAAATTGATCAATGAATAAATTTTACAAAGAGAAATACAAGGATATTTCAATTGTTAATATTTGAAAAGTAACATTATGTAAAAAGTGAACATTTCTGGTACTTTTGTTATATTGCATACCACCACCATATTGAAAATATTGAATAGTCTTTGAGTCAGTTGATCTTGCCTTGTGATCACAACTGACACTGTGCGAAGGAAGGAGAGTATTTCATTTCGCTGCAATGATAGCAAATTTTAGAAGCCAGCATATTCGTAAAAACTCCAAATTAAAATTCAAAAAGTTAAGCAATGGAGTTTCTTCATGCTTGTTATGATGAGCTAAGGAAATCTTCATTGTCCCACTTAAAAAACATCAAAAAATAAAAGTTGTGTCAAACACTACAGTTCAATATACATCATCTTGTGTGCCCTTTACATATATTATTATAATATTTTCGTTATCTGCAACGGTTCAGAAGATATTCAAAGGGAACATTGTAAGTGAGCCATCATGTATAAAATATACTCAAAGTGACATACGGAATGTTGGAGAGGTGCAATGTGGCGGACGGTGGATAGATGTTCTGGTAATTTTTAGATCCTGGTTTCTTGAAGCGATGCAGAGCCGAATTAGTAAAATCTTTTGTGAGTCCAGCATCAGGTTGCCCTTCTTTTGGCAATTGAACAGTCTGGTGCTTTGAAGGCATCACACGAATCTGCTTGCCGAAAACTCTCAATTTGTCCATGTGTGTCATTGCTGAAAAATGTATTAGTAATTTTTTTACAGATATAGTAACCGTAATACTGTAATTTTTACTGAATAGCTCAATACATAAATTTGATATAATTATTTAATTTCCAATGCAAATAAATGGAGCCTTCGGTGTTATTCAGAATTAAAAATCAGGAAATTAGAAATATAAAGAAATTAAAAAGCTGGTTATCTTACCGAGATGTGCCTGATGAGGTTCAGCCATTTGTATGAGAGCACTGTCTTTCTTGTTATATAGAATCTTCACACGTTGCACATCGCCATAAACGCCTGAACAAAGTCATTTAAATTACTTGACGCTGCTTTTACCGCTTCAAGCGCCTTAGTTGCCTTTGACACTTATATCAAGGAAACTTGAATAGGTGCTTGAAGCTCAAAAATAAAAAAGTGAACAACTAACATCATTGGTGGCTTGCACATAACATTCCATATGTTTCTTGTACTACACACACACATTTCATATAGAAATAATTAATTTTTACAATACCTTTAAATTATAAGCGACTTCTCAAAAATAAAATGCAATACTTATACAAAAGGTTGAATTGTGGGACACATGCACATCTGCAATAAACTTTCTTGTTTCTACAAATCTATTGTTCAACACTAATATTTTCCTGCTCTACTTCCAAGGAAGCATGTGGAATGTACAATACAAGCACAGTCCATCCTAAGAAGCACAACATATACTCAACCAATCACAAATCCATACCATTATACATTCTGTAGTGCAGTGTAGTGTAACAATTTGTATGCCTAAGAGAATGTTATATCAGATGACTGCACGTACAGGTTGAATCATAAGTAAGAAAACTTACTGCACAGGCTGCTGGTTTTATTGTGGAGGGACTGTGTTGCTAAGTGATATATCATAAATGTTTAAGACAGTGATTTTTCATGCACCATTTTAATTTCAAAAATATTTTCCTATTAGGCCCTTCATTTCCAAAAGTCATACCAAAGATGTATTTAGCAAAATGTTGTTATCATGCAATCATGGGTTAGGCAAAGCTAATTATTCTAAGAAACAATTAGGCAAAGCTAATTATTCTAAGAAATGGAACCTATATAATGAAATTTTATCAAAAGTAAAAAAAAAAGTAAAAAAAAAAGTAAAAAAAAAAAAAAAAAAGTAAAAAAAAAAATGTAGAAGTGATTTTATTAGCAGTAGTCTACGATTGATTAATGTTCCTAGGACAATTTCTGAAGTCAATGATGTGTTACATTTTACACTACTCAACACAAAAAATTATTACATTATTCACTCCTTTATCCAAGGAACCATTGACTTCCACCCTTGCTATTCTCTCTTCTATCCTGAACACATCTTTGGTTTTCTAGATATAACCTAATACACTTAACACAAAACAAACAGACAATTTGTACATGCTTGTGTTGCATATGTATGTTCCAGTGTAAGGGTAAGCATACACTACTGGTATAGCAAACACAATTAAAATTAACTGAAATAAAAAAGGAAATAAATCATGGTCCAAAAACACAGAAAAATTTCCAGAAGCAAACTTTGCAACTACATACAAGCATTTCATACACATAAGCAGATAAGATAAAGAAGAATTATATTTGTCTTAAATCTTGAAAAATTAACAACACTTTTCCAGCTGATCTTTTAAAATTAAACTTTCGCACAGTAAACTCAGATGAAAAAATTAATTCAGTAAGCAAAAGCAATAGAAACATTCAATTTCCTGGTAAGGGGAAGAAATGAAAACCAAAAATTAACAAAGAACTGATTTAACAGGATGGAAATAAAAGTGTTGCTAATAGGAAATTACTTTAGAAAAATGCCCAGATCTGAGCAGAAGATTCAACAACTGCAGATACATAAATTTTTTTAATTGAATTTAGCTGTCAAAAATAATTTTGCTTTATACCATCAATTTATTTTGAAAACCACATTGCAAATGATGTATGTAATTTAAGTTTCTGTAACATCCAAAGAACACAAGATAAATACCCACAAGCAATAATACAAATTGTATACTTAATGGGAAAACAGAGACATGCATTAATTGCTCTGGTTCCAAATCCGCACAATATTTTCATAAAAGAGATAGAACAAATTAATAAATTCTAGCCCCCTTAGAAGTAAATCTAGGGCAATGCCACTGCCAAACTGCACAAAATTAATAAAAATAATATATTTTGTATTATGGTTATGTGTCAATTTAAATATCTACAGTATTAGCAATGAAATGAAAATATATTAGATGTTTCAATCTTACTCAGAAAATATAAAAAGATTTAAAAAAATATATATATATAAATATATGTAGAAACAGATGTTACATGAATCCCACAACTCCCCAAAACAGACTGTTTTAAGGATATTAAAACATGAAAAATTACTAAGAAAATTAACATGTTTGTTTATATCAGAAAAAATTAATTAAAATAATTAATGGTAATTAATAATAAAAAAGATGTGTGCATAACGTACCAAACAGGGTAAAGAGAGCCTCAGGTGTGACCATCTACGGAGTAAGAGAGAGATGAAGTAGAGGTGGTCATAGAGTTGAAGAGCAGTGGGGTAGAGAATATTGTTTTGTTTGTCGAGCAGTCCAGGTAGAGAGGGCACCGCACCGCACAGGGCAGTCAGTCAGCGAGCGAGATGCGAGCGAACGAGCGAGCGAGCGAGGAGAAGAGTTGTTCGGAAAAAAAAGAGAAACAAAAGAGCCTGAGAGAAAAATCAAATTACAACACAATTTTTTGGAGAACAATTATGTTCTTTGTCCTTATCTAATTAACTCCATTACGCATTAATATCATGAGGTTTCAAGAACTGAATTCTGCTCTACTGTGAAATGACCATTTCATATTTTTATAATATCAAAACATTTTTTCTTTTTCATTTTCATTCTTTTTAACTACATTGATTGTGTGACAGAATAAAGAATGGCTCATTCCACAGAAAGCAAGGGGCTTCAGACTAAGTTTCAAACACACCTGCAACAAAGAAAGCCACATAGAACAGTAGTACAGAACAGTAAGAATATTTCAGGTGCTGGTGCTTCTCTTTAGGAGATTTTTCGACATGTGTCAGTCAAAGGTGTAACACATTGACAGCTCAAATACTAATAATCTAGTAGAACTGATATGTTTAAACAAAATGTCAATAAACATCAATGGAGCACTACTTTGTTACTAGTATATTCTCTAAGATTCTGAAATGTTTTGAAGCCAAGCGAATTCAAGCTATTTGCATGGTGGTGGAACTCTTGACAAACAAAGCAGGGTGCTTGAAACTAAGTCTTCTTTCCTGCAGAGCAGTACTGACATAAGAAAGGAAATTTGCTATTGCCCAGGCCATTTGCATATTGGTTTATTAATAAAAGTTAAAAAAATCATACTTCAAAACAGAAAAGTTGACGAGCATGTCAATACAAGCAAGAGTAATTACTTTGAAAAGAAAAATTTACTAGTTATCTTTCTCAAGCTTCAAACAATTTAAAATAATTAGAATTGAGTATCAATTTTAAATTTTTCACAGGAGTTCAACTATTTACAATTATTTTTCAATTTTATTTAAACTTTATAGACTCAAAATTATCCAAAGAAGAAACATGCCTTAAAGAAATTCCCGAAACAAAAATGCCAGGTTATTACTTGGAATGTTTTTTCAAAGTCATTGTAAGCTACAAATGGCCTGGTTTGAAATTTGAGCAATACAGGTTCTAAAACTACACTAAAACTACAACTCATACATACGGTTCAACAATTTAAAAAAAAAACTTTTTAAAATTAACAAGTTTTTGACACTCTTTCAACACTTCTTTTTATAGTAGGCATTAATATTTCTTTCTAGAAGATAATATTAATACAAATGTACATAGAATTTTGGCATTTGAGAACCAAATTGTTTAAAGGCACATGCAAAAGCTCAAAGAATTTTCATTGAAAATTTGGAACAATTGTTCCTGAGAAATTCATATGCATAACATGTACGCTCACACACAGAAATGAAAATAATATAATTTACTTTTAATATTTGCTTTGTAGATGAACTTCCTACCATTACCAACTCCATTTTCAAAACTTGAAGTGTGTATAAAACATTCACACAACCACAAGCTTTTGCCATTAACAGGAAAAGAAAAAATAAAGAAATAAATAAAAATTACTTCATAAATGGTACGATTTTTCTTACATAATCCAGTGAGAATACAAATAATTCCCGAGATCGATCTATATATAT